AGTATGATCTCATTGTTTTGCTTATACCGTTTCACTCATAACTTATGTCGATCATTCCAATCATGCCTTAGAAATTAATTCAACTCATACAATGAATTTTTAGTTTGCAAATTTGATTTTCTTAAAATAGTTGTTGAATCCTATTGGGGAATGGGAATCCACCAAAAACATTCTTTAAAAAGGAATTCTTTCCATTATTTTGCTGCATGGACTACCAAAGTTAGTAGCCAAAGAGAAAAGAAAACAGATTGTTACAGCTAGAGCAAATATTTCTTAATAATACATTCCATAAAATTAGGTAAATCATTTTATTACTAACATAGCTATATATCTTTCTAGGCTCCCAACCCTTTCTAGGCTCCCATCCTACAACCTTTTTTTCTTCATATTTCATTCATGCTTTAATCGTCTTAGATGGTTTGGTCACATAAAACTGTGGCCTTCCGATGACCCGGTTAGGAAACTAGATATATTAGATTTGACTTATGTTAAGAAAGGAAGAGGTAAACCTAAAAAAGAGTTGGTTAGAAAAATATTAAAAATGACCTTTCTTTATTAGATTTAGATGAGAATTTGACTCTTAACATGACAAAATGGAGAAAAAGGATTCATGTAGCGGACCCCACATAGTGGGATAAAGGCTTGTTGTTGTTTTATTCATGGCTTTCCCTCCCAATTCTTGGTTCCTAGTGCCTCAGATAAGGTTTGGAAAATGTCAAAGGTATTAATAATTGTAACATATTTATGTGAGAGAAGTTTTCAAAGAATATGTACAAAGTTATGGGGTAAAAGGAATGTTCGGCATCTTTTTGCATGGCAATAGACTAATAAAGAACATTGTTAGGATATGTAGAAAGGTTACTTGGCATGGGTTCCAAGTCTTAAACTTACAGAAGAGTTTAGATGGGTTTTATCTTTCTTGTACAGACATAAAGTGGTTTAGTAAGGGGAGTATTAATCTTAGGGGCTCTCTATTTTGCTAAAAAAACATACATAGTAAAATAAAATATAGTGCAAAAGAAATGCAATATATTGAAAATGTTTGAAGTTGTTAGAATGATTGTAAAACAAATGCAGGTGATTATTTCTTTTGTTTGGTTTGAAGCAAAATGAATGTGGTTTAACGCCCAATAATGGTAGTGATTAACGACTGGCGGTGGCAACGAACAATAGCCAAATATTTGAAATTTGGCCAAAAAAGTACAAGCTTTGAATATATCAAAGATGAAATATATAGTGAATTTAGAAGTCACAAAAACGTTACTTTTCATTCCTTTTTTTAACAAATCAAACACTAAAATTTCTAAAAATCCTTGTATTTGAAATATTGTACCCTCACTTCTTATCAAATAGAACAAACCCTATCGGGATCAACCTATAGCCTTGCACAGTCAATGAGAAATATCAACTTCATTAAACCTATATCTTCTATTTGCCAACCACCCCACCCAAAAAAAAGGTCTCTTACAGAAAGGTTGCTTTTCATTAAACGTGGCATCTATTGATATGAGTAATTTTTTGTGGTTGAATGAAACCTTGTATACCTTTTGAGTGTTAAATAACCTAAAAAGACACTTACATGAAATAGGGTCAAATTTATCTCATTATTATGAATGCGTAAATAATAAAACTGAATATTTTTAATGAAGTTTTGTAAAAAAAAAAAAAAATAGTAAGATATTTCAAAGGAATTTTTAAATCAATCGCTCTTTAATGTATTCTCTCTTAATAAAACATGTCAAGTTAGGATAACTTATCCCAAATATCCTTTAGGGGCCTAATTTTAGAAGAGTTCTAATAACCTCAAGAAGACGTTATTTTTCTTTCAATCACCCGATTTTATTGTGGGGTGTCGTGATAAGGATTGATGAACAATGTCTTCTTCGTTGAAAAAGAGAACAATATTTAGTTAAAATAATCCCGGTATTATCAATCCTGATTTTTTTAATAAAGATACAAAATTAATTTTTTATCAATAACGACAGATTGAGAGAACATTGGTGACATCAAATTTTTGTTCGATGAGATATGCCCATGTCATTCGAGAATAATGATCAATAAATTTTTCAAGTCCTTTGACTCCAATGATATTAAGGATTTACGAAGGTTCCGAAATAACAATGTGGATTAACATGAAATAAAAAAGATATCCTATGATGTTTAGCGATCTCAAAAGTTTCACAATGAAAATTTTCAATGTCAACAATTTTTTAATAATGAGGGAAACACACGTTTGAGAATTTTTAATAGGTAGATGTCCTAATCTACAATGATGACCCAATTAGAAACAAACATAAAGGAGAAACGGACATAAAGGAGAAAGAAGAAATATTGTTACAATCATTATTTTCTTCAAATAGACATGTCACATCATTTTTTCTAATTGTATCAATCATCCTCCCAATAATTAGGTCCCAAAAAGAAAAACAATGATCAATAAAAACTTAAACTTACACTTCTAAAAAATAGATGTCCTAAGCAATAATGATGATCGCAAAGAATATACTTATTAGAAAATACGCAAAGGAGAAGGATGAATACTTTTTACAATCATTATTGTCTTCACGTATATATTCCATCATTTTCTTTTGATTAATCAAGCATCTGCCCTATAGTTAGATCCAAAAAAAAAACAATGATTAGTGAAAAACTATCACCTTGCACTTTTGATCATGAGTTGTTTTAAGATCAGATAAAAGATTTAAAGCAATATGAGGATCATACAACACATTGTTGAGGGTAAGTGAAGAGAAAATAGGTCTATTCCCCGACTACGTAATAGTGGTTAATGATTCATTATAACTTTGATTTTTTATAGTTACGACATGGTTGATAGGTTTAGAAGATATTAGTAGAGTTTGTTATGTGGTTAGTGGCACCTAAATCTATTACCCATGCATTGGCATAAAAACACAAAAATTGAAAGCTTGACTATTTTGCACTAGAGAGAATGACCAAATGGCATTTTTAGAGAGTTGAGAAGGTTCCATGTCAATTTCTCTGGAGTATATGACACATTGTCTCTATGAATAAACATATCATTTTGATTAACTTTTTAAAAATCCAACACAACATTGAGGGTTTCCATGAAGTTTCAAACAATTTTTTTGGTATATCCATTCTAGCAATAGTTGCATCACAAGTTATCTTTATAATGGAATTTTTTCTCTATACTTTGGGAAGGATTAGTATCATTCGTCATCCACCTTAAGTTTATGTTGTTTCCATAGTTGAACCTTGTATGGTAAAGGTTTCTAACATTGCATTCCTTCCTTCTTTAGTCGCACAAGGGAGGAGGCTTCATTAAGAAAGGGCATGATTTATTAGCCCAAGATTTGTATGCGAAGTTGATCAAATTCCACATTAAAACCTGCAGGAAACTCAAAAATCCTTCATCTTTTTACATATTGTTTTAGAACCATATCATCTTTATATATTTCATTTTGAGATTTTGATAGTGATTTAACTCAAACCAAAAAATCAATATTACATTGAAGTATTCAATGACAAAAAAATGTTATCTTGTTTAGTCGCTAAGAGTGGTCTTGATCTCCTAGAAGAGGGCAGCGTCCATAACTTTTGAATATGCTCATCTCATATCTTCCCAAACTTTAACTTGTTGTTGTAACATGTAGGGTTCACTAACATCAGGCATAATGGAGTTTCAAAGGCATGATGTTGGAGTCTCCTTCATCACAAAGTGTGAACTTGAGGTCTTCAAGATCTAAGGGAGAATAAAGTGAAGTTTCTAATTTCCTTTTAAGAAAATATCTTCACAATCTGAGGTCACTTTAGATAATTTCTTATATTCAATCGAATGAGAAATTTGTAACCCCTAGAGTTCTCTTTTATTGGAATTCTCATCGCGGGTTGACCCTCTTGTGAAGTCAAAACTCTAAGACATGTAGAAGAAATTAAGAGAAAGAGAAATTATGATAAAAAACATATTGAAATTTGAATCTAAGCCTAGTGCTCAGATACCAAGCAAAAGATAGGACAATGGCAAAGCCTTGCTTGCATTATCATACATTCAAAGTGTATTTATACATAAAACTGCATGTATATCTTTATAACGAGCAATAATCACAATTTAAAAATTTTCCTAAGGCATTTTGAATCTCTTTGCCTTCAAATTCCCAATTTTTGCCTCCGACCATGGATCTATTTGCCTCATTTCCTATTTTATTGCCCTCCCATCACAACTTGTTGGATCGTCAATCACAAATGCACACCTTTTATCTCTAGCATGCAATCACCAATCAATTCTTCCTAAAATTATTGCTACAAGTGTCCATCCCCACATGCTAACTTTGTTTTCCTCCTTGGGTGTGATGTCACCCTTCTATTTTTGGGGCAGCCAACCATTTTGTTTACAACAATTTTATATTTTATAAAAATAATATTGTTCAACAATTACAAAATCTAGCTTTCACATTCTTGTCAATTCAGTGACAAGTTACTCTTACCACTAAGCTTGAGTTCAGGTCCTTCAGGATATTCTAAACGTACACTTAACCAAATAAAAAATTCCACCATTTTTATTTCACAAACAACCAAACAATTCTGACAAATCAGCCTAAATACATATAATGAAACAGTGCCTTAGAGAAATAATGCTTCCAAAGCAATGATACTTCAAAGACAAAGGGGTAAGGGTAGTGCGAAACTTCAAAATAATGAGAATTGTTTTCATGAGGATGGCGAAAATAAAAGTTCAGCATTATTGTAGCAATACTTACAAAAACAAATTATCAGTGATAACCATTTCCTCATTTTGCGAATTGGAAGTTACAAAAAATCAACTTTTTAAATTTATTAAAAGATGCTACCAGCATAAATAAAAGCAGTTATCAGTAAGAAAAAGGAACTGAAAAAAAAGGCAGTTATAATGTTACGGGATGTTGGCACAAGCATACAATGACAACCAATGATGAACCTAGCGCAAACCTTACACAAATAGAAGGAACAAAAACTTGTTAAAAAAAATTTCAAAAGAATACCTCTCTGTGCTTGTGAATCTCTTCATCCTCATCTTGATCACGAACTCTTCCTAAATCATTTATCTCCCTTTTAAACTCCATTTCTAGTTCTTCCAATGTCTGTGGATAAGTCGGGATGCCAGACTTGTGTTCAAAGAGAGAATCCATTTCAGATTTCCCCACATCCCAACCACTACGCTTCGGCAACCCAATGTTACGGTGTTGTTCATCATATGAATTGAATGAATTACCACCATAAGTAGTAGGGCGCACTGGAGATTTTGTAGGGGCAGGATGACTTTTGGCTCCATCATTGGTGTAAGCTTCGTGAAATGAAGAACAGGGTAAGAAAAACCACACTTTAATTCCAGATGTCTAACTTATAGCGATGTTGTAAATAGACTATCCTACACAAGCAATAATGCTATATGGAATACTGAAATAGCCATCCAACCATATAAATCTGGAAATGCACATTTTTATCCCAGATGAACCGTCTGTCCAGAACCATGTAAGAAATCATTTCATTAACCGACAGCTTAAACTTACCTCTTCCTGCAAACAAACACAATTAAAATTTTCTTTCATTTGGACATAATCAATCGCATAGCAATCGTTTCCCGCTGAAGTTGGTGAAGTTGTACAGTACAAGGACCTACCTTGTGTAGACCCTCTTGACAACCTCTGCAAATCTTCACGTACATTATCTTCATATCCCTTGCTATGCAAGTGAATTGAATTTCCTATACTTGAACGGGACTTTTGGGACTCAGAACGTCTTAAATGAGAACCTACAGGACTTCTATCAGGTGATCTGGATCGTGCCCTTTCTGATCTAATGTCAGATCTACTAGGACTCTTGCCTTTGTCTTTCTCCTGAATTATTTTGTGCACAGCATCTAAACCTTTAGAGAGGACTAATCTGTCTTTCCCACTAACAAATAAAAATTTCTCATCCATTTTTATTTTACATCCAACATCCTTCTCAATTTGACTTATCACCTTGTCAGAGAAAAGGGCCCTCACATTCTTGTCTCTTGCAGGTACCCTTTCAAAGAAGTCTGCAGACTTACGATTTGCTCCAAGAGTAGTAGGGCAGCCCTGCAAGCAAATGGAAAATAAAAAATCAAAAATGGGAAATTAGTTACTCATTTGAGCAAAAAAAAAATCGGAAAATATAGCTGTATAAACAATAAGAATACAACCACATCAAGCCTTTATCCACTACATGAGCTACATGAATACTTTCTCCATTGTGTCTTCTTAAGAGTCAAATTCTCATTTAAATCTAATAAATAAGTCATTTCTAATATTTTCTGACCAAAATTACCTCTACCTCTCTTCCGTATCTTAATAAGAATATATTTAATAAAATATTAGCCAAGCTAAAGTGAACTAGTGATTCCACACAATGTATCTATATAATCATTACAAAACCATCAAATTAAAAACAGCACTAACTAGACCGAAGTTATAAATTATTCAAAGGAGCGCTACTAAAATTTAAGAAAAAAAATGAGAGGGGCCATCAGAAAAATAAATCAAAAGTGCTCATGGTAAAAATTAAATTTCATTTATTCAGAAAGTAGTGAGGGAAAGGTCTCAAGCAATGCATATCAACATCAATCATAACATCCAAATTATTCAGGAGAAGCTGCTGTAGAAAATTGTTAATAAAGAAATCTGAAATGTTCAAGAGCACTCGTGCTAATGATGCATGAAAAGCAAATGTGGATAATTTTATTTGGTAAAAACTATTGTGTGGTTGTTTTATCTTGTTGTTTTACATTCTTACCCTTACCACAATGGACCATAAGTTTAATGATATTTATTTATAAAGTTAAGTTCCCTTTATCACCAATTATAAATAATTAATTAATTTTGTAAAAAAAAGTATAACAAACATAATTTATTTGTTATTTGAAAATAATTAATAAGGAAACTGATAACAACTACCTATTAAAAACATTAAATCAAGAAATCTGTCAATTACTTTCCAATTTTTGCTTAGAATATTTTATTCATTAATTAGGATATTTAAATTTCAAAATTAAGAAAGCTAAGCCTAATTGTTATACAAAATAACATAATCCTATCTAAAAACAAAAAATGTTAATTCAAACTTAATGTAAGGTAAAGCATTTTTTATAAATCTACAAGGGCATGGGGCGTTCTGTGCATTAGCTTGGGTGCTTCTAAACGAACTTCCTTGCAGCAGGAAAAATTTCCTTTTTTTTCCAAAACTGAAAACAGGTTCGGTCCACTCGCTTTTCATAAAACAGGCATCCAAATACCGCACAATAAAATGCAGTTGCTTTTTCAAAAACAAAGGAGGTAAAAAGCAAAAACAAACAGACCCTCAATCATGGAAAATGTTTCAGAGATAATTGCATTAACACCATAGAGATTTTGGACTAACATTAAAGTTAAAACAGTTTACGGCCAAATTATATAAAAAACCATGCCAAGCGCCAACATAAAAAATCTATCAATAGTGGAATGATTCATGGCCTAGTGGTAGTTATAGAATGTTATTTCTCCAGTATCAGAAGTTTAAGCCACGCATTTCATAATTGATCACTTGCCATTGCCGATTAAATTAATCAATATTCAACATTGAGTATCTCAGTCAGAATATTCATATGGGAAAGCAAGTAATATTCCTAAAACAACTATTGTAGCATTTTTTTTTTTTTTTTTGGAAAAATAATTCAGCATGTCTCAATGGAAAAAAAATAATCTGCTAAATACCTGAGTGAAATGACCAGATTCTCCACACAGCTTACAGATCATTTCTTCTTCTTTCCTTTTCTTCCAATTTCTTTCAATAGCCTTGGCTTTTGCCTCCCATACCTTAGCTTCCCTACTAGTAAAATCAGTAGGAACAGCATTTGGATCTCGTAACTCATTTTCCTCATCTGACTGGTCATTAGCTAAGGATCTCTTGCTTGCATTAGCTTTAGCCTCTGCATTATTTGAAGTTGATCTCATAGGACCAGTATATTCTTTTCCATAAACCTCATTAAAAAGCTCATCATCTATTTCAGGGCTTGGTTGTCTAGCCATTAGCAAAATACCAAAAGCCAAGGCAGGCCTGCATTGCATACAAAAAAAATTATTATCTTTTCATTAGCAAATAGCAAACACCATAAACATAAAAAAGCAATCCAATACAACAACAACAACAACAACAACATCAAGCCTTTGTCCCACTATGTGGGGGTCGGCTACATGAATCCTTTTTCGTCAATGTGTCCTATTAAAAGTCAAATTCTCATTTAAATCTAATAAAGAAAGATCATTTCTAATATTTTCTAACCAAATCTTTTTAGGTTACCTCTACCTTTCTTAACATAAGTCAAATCTAATACCTCAACTTTCCTAACCGGGTCATCGGAAGGCCTCCGTTTAATGTGACCAAACCATCTAAGACGACTCTCTCTAATCTTATCTTCCACTGGAGCCACTCCAACTTTTTCACGTATATGCTCATTCCGTATCCTATCTCTAAGGGTAAAGCCACTCGTCCACCTAAGCATCCTCATTTCTGCAACTATTCATGCTCCTAGTTCTCTATCAACAATAACTTAGTCATCTAAACAAGCTGTCAAAAAAAGTGCAAGATGCAAGATGTGAAAAAAGGGACCTGCACACCAGCTAGTTTAATTGGCAATCTTATAAGCCAAGCCCAAGGTCTTGGATTCAAATCCTGCTTGTATTAAAGTTGCACCTTGCACTTGACATTCCCAAAAATAAGGAGAGATGTATCAAGATAGAGAATTTACGTGTGCAAGTGAGTGAGAATAAAAAGAGAAAATGAGAGAGACTGAACACTGTAAATCAACGGACCAAAAGCAGAAGGGTTAAGGATATTCAACAGAATGATGCGCCATGAATAATCTCTATATTACATTTTCATAATGAAAATGTCTTATGCTGCAGAGAACTACATAACTCAGCAGTCATTATACAAATAAAATATATGCATTAATAAAAATAAACTAAGGCGCACTACTATAGTCTGCATCTCAAATTCATAAAATTAGTTCTATAATTAAGCATTTTAAGCCTGCCGCATGTACTAACAGGAACAAATAGGCAAATTTTGAATATAGTCATTTAGATGATCAAATCATGACACCGTGGTTGAACATTCAGATATATATGCAGTCGTTTCAGAAGATATTAACCTTATCAACAACCATTAAAGAACACATGCATAAAAAAAGAGAAATAGACCGAATTTCAGCCGTCCGAGCTTGCAAAAGAGGCGAAAACCACATACCGGTTACGCTGAAGAACAAGAAACAGAACGTAGTGGAAAAGAACGGCTGCGACGCAGGTCGAGCGGAATAGGCAGGCGCGCCTGGAGTCTATTCGGCCGACTGTCGTGTTGAGCGGAAAGCGTCGAGTATGCAATGATCAACTCTGGTGTTGAGATGGATTTGTGAGCGACGTTGAGCGGAAGCTAGCCGAGCGCCGTCGCTAGGGTTTTGCGAAAGAGGGCGAGATCGTCGAGCGGCTTTGGCAAAATATATGAGGCTAAGATGGGAAGGGTTTAATAGGTATAGAATTCACTTTATTTATTCTTGTGAATATTCATATATCTAAAGTAAATTTTTTTTTATGAAAAAAAAAACAAATTATTCTCTGTTTTTTATTGATTAAATTACTAGATTAGTACTTGACTATATAAACATATCAACTTGATTCATTAATTTTAAATAAAAAATAAAATTAGTCCTTCAGTAAAATTATTTATATTTTTATTTAAAAAATTAAAATATTAAAAATGATGTTTTTAAATACTCAGAAAAATGACTATTGTGACTCTTATATATTTTTTATTTATATAATATCTTAGTATTTATATCACATTAAAAATATATATTAATTTTTTATTTTTAAAATTATATTAATAACTTTTTATGTAATTTAAATATTAAGATATTGTATAAAAAATAATGAATTAGATCTTAGATATTTAAATATAAAAAAATTGTGGTCAATATCTAAATACCTCTAATTAGTATTACTATGTTCAAACTAAGTTCATATATTTTGTTTTGTGTACTAAAGTTTAACATGATTGGAACAAAAAATATTAATATTTGAGTTATCTATATATTTTCAATAACTTTATATAAAATTTTCTATTATTCATTTGTGTTTATGAAAAATAAATAATTAAAATTCTTTTTTTAGAGTGCTAATAGGATTTATAATGAAATTGGTTCCATGATTTAATAATAAGCCTTAATAATGATATCATATTTAATAACAAAGTTTTAAAAGGGAAATTTACATGGACATCATTGAATTCTTATGTATTTACATATTTAACACATAGTTTTTTATATTTACTTATATAACATCCTAATTTTTAAACCAAATGAAAAATACTATTAATAATAATTTATTTCAAGTAAATACTTATTATACTATTAAACATCTAGCCAAAAGAAAATGATCCACTGTGTATATATATTATAAGAGTAAGCTCTTACCCTCAATTGGAGAAGACATTACACCAAAGTATGTAATATAAATTTGTTTTTCTATAAATGTGAGAGGAAACGCTAAATAATATAGTGATCCTAATTTTGTTGGATTCATCTTGTCAAGCCCCTCAATTTGACTATATGCATACAAATTTTGAAGAGTTTAACTTTGAAATCAATGCTATGAAGTTTTCAACTTTATCTGAAGTTCTAGATTTAGATTCATTTGTACTTGAGTCTGATCAATTTTGTATCTTTGTATTTATCTTATGAAGATGCTTAATTTGATTATAAGTTAGTTGAAATTTGAGTTTGAAATATTCTAAATTTAATTTTGAGAGTTTCCAATATAAATCTTGCATTAAGATTCATACAAATCAAGAGAAATTTTTGAGATATATCATTTGTCCCTTATTTTTTGGATGGCAATTTTCGTGACGTCTAAATATATATCTTCATTCGTTGAAAAAAAAATCAATAATCATAAAATTATAATTTCAAAATAATTACATGGCACAATCAATCTGTAGACATGAATATAGATCTCTCTTCACTGGCATAAACTAAAAGTTATAATTCAAACTTTTTTTAGGTCAACATATCAATTAGAGCAAAAATTAATGAAAAATCCTGCCCGTAATACTACAAATTCGTTTGATCGAAAAAAATAGTTGGGATCCAAAAATATCAAAAAATTGTGAAATAAATATATGCAAACCCAAGATTGAACCCAAAAAGGATCGTGTAGACCACCTAGTCGATGACCACCATTGGCGCTAGCGCGTGCGTATGTGTGTATATGTGTGACCATAGGAGCACTCGTAGGCCTGGGCAGATACATGCAAGTAAGTGCACCCTACTACACATGCGTGCATGTGTGTGTAGGTGCATGTATAGTCGCGCGCACAACAGCTGGTGAATGAAAGTGTTGCTACAATACTACCGCTTTTTTTAAATCATAAATATTTTTTACTATTGAATACATTGAGTAATCTTCCTCAATGTTCCAATGCTGAGATATCAATAAGAAATATTCGTCCAAAAATGCCAGCACTTTATTCATCACTTTATTTTCCTAATTTTTGGATGTTTATCTTGCTTATTTCTTCTATTATAAGTCTCTCAAAATTTTCATGTGATTTTTAAGTTGGTTAATATAGTTTTTCTTTTCTTCTCTCAAAAATTTTCATTATAAAAGTCTATCATATTCCAAAAATATGCCCTTTTATGTTTCTAACTTAAATATTTTTTTGCAATTTATTTACCCATCTAAATTACTTGAAATGTTTCGCATAGAAGTCCCACCATTTTTAGATCTCTCATAATTTTTTAAGATTTTTCTATAAATTAATTCTGGTACAAAATTTTTTGAATGACAATTAGTCAATATTTTTGCACCATATTACTTGCACAAAAAATTCATTAAAAATTTACGTGCATGAATTTCCCAGCATTTTTCTCTTTAAACTTCATGAACTCCTTATAATATTTAAATTTTTTTACGTCATTACACTTTGATTTTCCAATTTTCAATTAAAAAGAATTCAAAATTTTGCATGTCCTCTTTCAAATGCTCCTACATTGAAAGATGTCAAACTAATGAAATTATGGAGATCAATTCGCAAAAAAAAAAAAATATGCAATTCATCTCCTATAATTATAAAGTTTGCAAGTTGTTATCAGATACATATAGTATTTATTTAGTCTTTGGGTAGCATCCCAGCACGTAGAAAAGAAATTATGGGGCCTATACAATAGGTATGCCTCATTCGATTCTTTAATAGATAGAATTTTTCATTGACCTTGTATATTGGAAAAATGTATATCATGAATGCATCTTTTTCTATATAAATCTCTTGTCATTGAAGTTGCAGACTTGGAGAGTGTATCAACTCAAGCATTTTGTTATTGATGCATGTGGATAATCTGATGTAGATTGATGAGAGAAAGAAATAATTTTACCAAATTGAGATATTACATCAATTGTGGGTTATAAGTGCCAAAGTGTCACGCTACTTGAGAAACTGCGAGTTGAGAGTTTGTGGGAATTATCAAAATTTAAAGTTTAAAATCTACGGCAAGTATTTTCCCTACCAAGTGGGCTTTATACTCGATGACATTGTTGGTTGTAGTGATCGTTAAGTTAAACCCTTATTGTAAAGTACATGTTATAGGGAGCGATAAGAAGAATTTTTTTTGTTGCACCAGAACTTTCAGATTATCCTCTTTCAACGTACAATATCCAATGTGATGATAAAAAGAAAGGAGATAACTTAATTGTATCAAGAATGATGCATTCAATTACAAAGTCAACAAATTCATATGACTTGATATATGATATGGATAAAAAATGAATATCAACTTTTCCTATCTCTATTGAACATTTGATTAGTCATCCATAAGTTTATAGTTTTTTAAGGATGACCTTAAGTGGAAATTAGGTATAGATGCCAATGTTGTGAGCTTTAAAATGTGTGTAACTTTCTTGTTGAAAACATTAGTGCTAAGGCAATTATATTTGTGAAATGATCATATACGTGAAAAGGTTGAAGTAGCTATAATGAAAGATAAGATTAGAGAATCTCCTTAGATGATTTGGTCACATAAAACAACGGCCTAATGATGACCCGATTAGGAAAGTAGATATATTAGATGTGATATATGTTAAGAAAGATAGAGGTAGACTTAAAAAGACTTAGAAAATATTAGAAATAATCTATATTTATTAGATTTAGATGAGAATTTGACTCTTAACATGACACAATGGAGAAAAAAGATTCATGTAGCCTATAGAAGCTCAAGAACAGAACAAGATGCAAGAACAGGGAAAGAGAGAAGATAACAAGACATAATGATTAGTCTTATTCACCGAAACAGAAAGTACAAGCTACAATATATAGAACTCTTAGGAGAACAGTACACGTGTAAATATGTCATTGGTGAGGTATTAGCTGAAGTTGAAATACATATTTAATTGTTAGTCTAATAGCTCCCCGTAAACTAATGGATCTTGGATGATTGTTAGTTTGTTCCTTAACTGCTTGAATCTTGGTGTGGATAGAGGTTTTGTAAGAATGTCAGCAGTTTGATCAATCATCTTGATGGGACGAAGACGAATATGATTATTGTTAATATGTTCACGGATGAACCTATGATCGATCTCTATATGCTTGGTTCTGGCATGGAACACCGGGTTGGTTGCCACAGCAATAGCAGATGTGTTATCACAATATAAATCTATGGGTTTGTCATGAGTAATGTGAAAGTCCGTGAGCAAGCGTTTAAGCAAGATAGTGTCCGTAGTGGCAGCTGCAAGTGCACGGTACTCAGACTCTGTAGATGAACGAGAGACTGTGGTTTACTTTTTGACTGTCGAAGAAATGAGTGTATTGCCCAAGAAGGTACAGTATCCCGATGTTAATTTTTGGGTGATGGGATCACTAGCCCAGTCGGCGTCCAAAAAAGTGGTAAGTGTGAGATCTAAATTTGTGATCGGCAACTCGAAATGGATTGTTCCTTTGATGTAGTGAATGAGTCATTTAAGTAAATAGATGTGATTTGGCTGTGGATCGTACATATGTTGTGATAGAGCATTGACGGCGTGGGCTATATCCGGGCGGGTGACGGTTAGATATTACAGTGCACCGATTATCCTTTTATATGTTGTTGGATCCGCAAGGACTGAATTCTGTTGAATCTCAGATGGTAGCTTGGTACATGAAGGATTGGCTACAGGATTACAATTGAGAAGATTAGATTGTTGAATGATAGAAAGAGCATAAGAGGTTTTAGAAAGGAAGTACTTATCTTGTGCGTATTGAATTTTGATGCCTAGGAAGTGGTTAGCATTGCCAAGATGTTTGAGCGCAAATTTATCATGGAGTTGATGGAGAAAGGTGGAAATTTTATACTCATTGTTTCTAGTAATTAGTATATCATCAACATATACTAATAGGAACATTTGAGTGTGTCCTTAGCGAAACGTAAGAGGAGAGGGATCTGCCTTGCTATGTTGGAACCCGAGACTGATGAGATGATTATAAAAAGTTGTATACC